GCATTGCGCACCAATGTGATTTACGAATTCATAGAGATGTCTGAATGGGCTACACGTTGCCAGTTTTCCGTAATCGCTAAGTCAATCTTAAAAACACTTCTAGAGAAAAATGTCTTTCTTTGTCGTAATTGCATTGCACATTTTTGCCATGCAGTTGCATCGTATTCGAAACATTGAAAATAAATCATCATACGCTCTATCATACGCTTCTGCGTTAGTAAATGACATGTTTACAGTTACCATGGTTATGTGATTTGTTTTTCTCGATGAGGTAACTGGATCCGATTGATGGCACTCGAGTTTTTAACATTTTCTTCTATAACTCGAGAACGGGTGGCAATATCGAGATGCGGTTTTCACTAAAATTTAGCAAATTTTAAGGTGACTAAGGGTCTGTGAAGTAAATAGTATCGTTCCATTTAACTTTTTTTCAAAAATTACAAAAATATGTAATCGCTGCAAATAACGCCCTCTAGCTTATTTGTTTTAAAGCAAACAGTCTTATTGAAAATATCTTTAAAAAGAGCATAAAATGCTCTTTCAAATAACACCGAAAATATTCAAATCGGTTAAATGGTCCAGGAGATATTAAAATGTAAACATATGAAAACGCATTGTCCTCCCCCTCCTTTATTATGACAGATATGAGAAATATCGCAAAACAAAAGCGATGCGGTATTATCCAAGCTACTACATGATGTCGTCAAAATTATAGCTCATCGTCTAACTTTCTGAGATAGCGGGAATTTTATGTTTCTCAATGGCAGTTACGCCCCCTAGCGGTCGAATTACGAACTTCAAAATAATTTCCAGCTATTTCTCTTGGTCACTTTGCTTATAAGGATTTTTTTCCCAAACCTCTAGGCCTTACCGTTCTAGAGATACAGCCTCTCCGTACGCTTAACGGGACCCTATACATTATATCTTTAGGTACTACGGTCAGGAATGTTCGCAACTTAATGGTGATTTTTTTAATAATGTATTCCTTATGAACCATGCTACTGTAGAAGTCACAAATAAATCAACAAAAATCGTTAGTTTTGCAAAAAAATATATTAATTTGATTGAGTTAAGGTTGAAAGAATTTATGTCTATCAAGTTTGACACACGATTTCTAAAAAAAGAAGTAGTACAACACCCTTGGCAAGTAATTTTAAAAGATGGCCTGTTTAGTCAAGTTTCCAAAATGGTACAACAGTTGCCATTTTTCTTATCATAAAAAATATTATTGCCTATTTTTCTGCAACAAACACGTTATTTAAAAAATTCATACTTTTTTATGTTATTTGTATTTACATTTTATTTCCTCTTAACTTTGTTAGAAGACGTGCCAGTCAATATCTACGAACTACAAAATGTGGTTTCAACAAGATGGTTGCCCGTATATCTTGCAAAAAGACTCTTTCAAATAAGGTTAACCTAAAGACAAAATTAAACAAACAAATTTATTTATTATTAATTTTATTTTATAGCATTATTTTCTTAAAACTAAGGCAAATACACATACAAGCTCTGCATCGTCACAGAAAAGACCTTTTTACTAGTTGCGCAAATCTTTTTGCATTTATTTCTTCTGCTGCTGTATAAATATTGTGGCGCAGTTAGGCAAGATTTTCAATCGGTTTTTAGTACACTGTTTCTTTTATGCAATCCTAATAAGAAAATCAAGGGGATTTAAACCCAAAGAATGAGGAGGCCACGTAATCGAACCACGACACCCAATCCATCTTTCTGGGTATTCTGTATGCAATCCCGTATAGGACAAGCATAATGAGCTGGCCAACCATCTTGTTGAAACCACATTTCTCTGTTGATATTGAGTGGCACATCTTCTAACAAAGTTGTTAAATCATTTTGGAGCAAAATACAAATAACATACGTTTTTGACAAGAAAACAGGTAATAATATTTTTTAGGAAAAGAAAAATGGTAAGTGTTATACCATTTTGGAATCTTGACTACACAGGCCATCTTTTAAAATAACTTGCCAAGGGTGTTGTACTAGTCCTTTGTTTAGAAATCGTGTGTCAAACTTAATAGACATAAATTCTTTCAACCTTAACTCAATCAAACTGATACTTTTTCTTGCAAAACTAACGACTTTTGTTGTTCGATTTGTGACTGCTATAGTAGTATGGTTCATGAGGAATACATTATTAAAAAAATCACTATTAAATTGCGAACATTTCTCACTGTAGTACCTAAAGATACGATGTACGGGAACGATTTTTAACATTTTCAAAAATATGTCTATTACCACTTAACTAAGAGACATAGAATTTTTTTCTTATTTTTACCAGAACAGGTATGGGTTGGCTTCTCACCCGGTGCCCGCTTGACGTTGAGTTTCGGGACACGCTGTATATCGGGTAGACGGACCAACCAACCTTGCATGGCGACCCTAAGGATCTATTGTACCCCGATAGATAACGTTACAAATTTCAACCGTGCAGTCCAATGCTCTTAACGAACATTAATACATTGCTCGGTAAAAAGTCCGACCCAAAAATCGAGAATTTGATACGATTAACAGCGGAGCAATGGCATAAAACATTCTCAACCGTCTCCGCTTCCTTCGCACATAGTCGGCATTCAACATCGTCTGTTAGACCCAACAAGTTGAGGTGTGCTTTTAAACGGCAGTGCCCAGTAAAGACACCCACTAGAACTTTAACACTGCTACGAGCAAGTCCTAACCCTAAGCAAACCCTAATAGTTTGACAGTGGCGATGTTAATAAACACCTTAGCATGTCTCATTCCAGGAGAACTGGTTCACAGTAGACGAAGTCTTATCTTCTTAACCTGCTAAAAAAATTTCTTTCAGACCGCTCCTCATTGGTTAAAGTGAAAAACTACTATTCTCACAGTTTCACCGCTCAACAAGGTCTCCCTCAAGGCTCTCCCATCTCGCCAGCACTGTACAACGTCTACTGCCATGACATCTACAACGACAACCCAGACGTCTTCGATCCGATGTCTTACGCCCTACTTTATGTCGATGATACTACTCTCGTCGCACATGATGTAGCACTGTACATTCCATCATCAATCTTAAGGCTGCAGATGGTCATCCAAAACATAGAAGAATGGTACCGAAAATG